CAGTAATAGCAGGGCAATGATAAGACGATAATCTGCACAGACAGTATGTCAACTATTGCTAGTATCATGAATATTACTAACAAGGCACCCGTATTTCTGAAATACACACCATACTTATACAAAAAGAAAAAGAAATGAAAATTATGTGGATTCCTGGTATTATCGGCAACGAATTGGAGGATTTTAGTGAAAAATCCGCAGCAATGGAGCTAATATTTACCTTCAATTATATGGTGAGGAAGGATATCTTCCTAATCCGTCAATAAATTCCTTAAAGAACAGAAAACAAATTCTTGGAACACTGTGCAAAACTATTACTCGAACTTCAATACAACTGGCATGCAGCCACATATTCCGCGCATCTGCCGAGCAAATGACATGATTGCTTTTACTTGACTTCGGATTGGGCATACCAGGGCCACCTACTCGCACCTGCTAAACGGTTCAAATAGACCACGCTGCGAATTCTGCACTTATCCATCGCTTATAGTTAAACATCTTCTCGATGAATGCACTAAGTTTAGTGCAACTAGAAACGCAATATTTGAAGACCAACCTATTTCAAATTTGCTTAAGATTTTTTCTGAGGAAAACATCCACAATTTAGACGAATTTTAAGTTATCTAATAATATAACCTCCTTTACTAATATCAATTATTTGATCAATTGTACTGTCAGTAATATTGATCTCATAATTAACTTTTACTGGCTAATATATTAATATTCTAAGACAATATAGTTTTATTAGAGCAGTAAGCCGTAAGCCCTGGAAGCTAGTGCTTCTTACTCTGTAAGTTAATAATTGTATTATTATTTTCCATTTAATAAATAAATAAATAAAACTTCGCTAAATACTGACGCTTGACTCTAAGTCAAGGAAGGAGTTGGACATGTTTTTCAAAAATTATAATTAGTTAATTGGTAATATATCAGTGTTATTCATCGAAAATAAGTTAGTTATCTACAAACAAACTCTCCTACCGATATGGAGCATGGTGCACAACTCTGAGGATGTCAACTTTCCGAGATGGATCTCCACCACGACTCAAACGCTCAAACCCAGCGATCTTTCAAATTAGCCATTACTCTCATGGTTTTATACTTCGTTTTAAACTTAAATAAACGTGTTTTTATTCTTGGATGTWTTTTAAAAACAATAAATGGTGTAGCTGATGTTGCTGTTGTTACGGTCCTGGCGACAGGGGTAATATGAGAGACTGTAGACACGAAGATTTTGTATATTTTAATTTTATGGTGCTACGTGGAAAAGTGTATTAATAAAAAAAWATATATATATATGCTAAATATATCTTTAAATAATGTAAGAATTTAATTTAAGAACTTTAGCTTGTAAACAAGTGTTTAAGTTTGCAACCAATAGATACATAAGTATGTGTCTCTATTTGTACTTTAGCAATCATTAAATTGTTTAGATGGTTATCACGCACATTTGAAATAAAAATACAGTATCACTCAAGTGTTTAGTATAGAAGACAATTTATTAAGGAAGTATTTCATTTTTTACAAATATTCCTTTTTTTTAATTAAATGTTTAAATTATTTAGGTAACGAATGTAGCGTATGTAGATAGCGCGCCAGATCGCTGATGTCGGAATTCAAACTGTAGCGCGGAACTGGTGTTGCAAATGGAACGTACTCTAAACGATGATCCAATTCGTTTTTGTCTGATTATCATTATTGGTGCTACTTGTTTGTGCGAGGTGTCGTCGGGTGGTGACATCGTGCTGAGTGTGGTGAGGTTCTAGGGTGAGCCAGTTATTCTCGAATAGAGTAGTGTGGTAGGGGGCGGCTAAGCCATCATTGAAGCAAGGAAAAATTGCATTAAGGATACTGCATAATTTTCAGATGGGAGCAGTGACATATCCTAATGTTGAATTGGAGAATTTGGTCTTTATTCCGCAAAAGTATTGAATCATCGTTGCCAATGGTTTCTATTCAGCATTTTCGCTATTGAAAGCGGTCCCGTACAATAGCGGCTCCGTTTTTTCAAATGCGTTTCGCATGCCACTAGCACTAGCTGTTGTTCGTTAATTGCACGCAGTCGACCCTTTTTCTTAACAAAATACTTATAAATAGTATTACTTATACTTTTTTTTACAACTATTATATGCTCTCTAATCGAACGATTATCCACACGTTATTTAAGTAAAAGAAGGTTTATTTGTTTCTTTTAATAAAGTTGTATTTAGTTATAAACATGTACTATATATAAATGATCAGGATAAGGAAACGAGTTGGAACCCGGGTGACTATCGGTCTGTCCGTCCGTCCATGCAAGATGTAACTTGAGACACCTGAATAAACTCGGCGGACATGTTCCATAGCGAAAATTTTAAAATAGTGGGCGTGGCTCCGCCCTCTACTGCTAAGGACTAATAAAAGTGGGATAAATTAATAACTAAACACACCAGACACATAGAATTTTACAGACGAAATGGTATGAAAGGGGTTAATAGGAGCCGGTGTAAAACCTGAACGGTGATCGTGGCATCGCCCCGGTAAAACCGATTTTATTACCTTTGCGAGTAAAAATCGTTGCGGAAACGCACACTGCCTTTATTTACTATTATTCTTGATAAAGAGTTTAGGATTTTATTCGCTTTATCTACAGTGCATTATCACCTTTAGTCTATAATTACTCCCAAATACTTAAGTTGGGGCTGTGAATGAATTTCTCCCTCTTCATTGGTGAGCGAAAGACTTTCCTGCACTTTTCAAGTACTTATGACCAAGAGTTCAGTCAGTTATACATTCATTGAGGAGAACCATTGGCGCAGACCGCTTATGCACTCTTTGCATTTGGTCTGGAGGCCCTCTAGGATATTAGCCACTGCCACCACAATAATTTAACGTCTTTTGGTTGGTGTCTCTTTAGCATCCCATCATACATTAGGTTTCATAGAAGGGGACCTTGAAACGAGCCTTTGCGGTACTCCACTCGAAACAGAATACCTTATTGTGACTTCATTAGTATTGAATAATAGTCGCCTGTTTTCAAAATAACTCATAATAATTTTCATAAGATATTGAGGAGCGCGTATGTTATTAAGCAGAGTTGAAGGGGTTCTTCTTCTATGTTCCATATTTTCCATCGTTTGACACTTTCTTCGTATTTGGCAGTGTCAACGACATTGTTTAGTGCGTCAATAGTGGACCTCTCCTTCAAAAAGCCGTATTGTCTTTCTGATAATCTGCCGGCTTTCTGGATTGATAACTCTTAGCAGTTTCTTACACTGCATTCTTACACATTGTCAATGGCGTCAGCATGCACTGAGATTAATAAGATGAAGGTTTCTGCGGAACTCGTTTTTGGCTTAGGAAGTAGAACCAAACGCTGGACTTTCCACAGGTCGAGGGATATCCTTTCTTTCAAACACGCATTGTATATTTTTGCGAATAGATTTGGTTTCAAATTCATGGCTTCATGTGCATGATTGTATCCATATTGTGTTATGAATTATTTTAAAGTGCCCGCATTTATAATGCCTAAATTTACTTTTAGAAACATTATTTTACACATTTATTTATATAGATATGTACGTTTTGTACAGTCCCGGCATTGTCTAATAAAGCATGTTCAAAGGTATTTGGACAATATTTTTAATCTCTTATAGATGTTTGTGTTATTTTATCCTTGAAGTACCTTAAAAAAATAATTATAAAATGGTCATGTTCTTGTAAGAAATTGATAAGAATTTGTAAGCGAAATGTTTTAAATTAAAAAAAAGTTATTTTAAGTTTCAAAATTATTTCAATTTGAAATACTATTTTTTCACAAAAAATGTACAAAGCACATATAATTGTAATTGTCTTTTATTTTTAAAGCAAGACTTAAATCGTGTTGACCTCGGAATGGCATTAGCATACGTCTATTTGTAAATAATACAATATTTTTTGAAAGAAATCCAGTGACAAGTAGAGATTTAATAAAATTCTAGAAGACCCCGTGGCGGCTAAGGTATACATTAAATTACATCGTATATTATAACTTATGAATTAAGTCGAAGGTACTATAGCGGTATAGAAATCCCCAGGGATTAATTTAGTTTTTCTTTATTTTATTATTTTTTTTTGGAGTGTTCTTAAATCCTTCCTTCTCTGATCACATACATATATCTTAGTTTTACATGGACAGAGCAGGTTTGATTAGTAAACCTTAAAGATCTTCAAAAATACGACTTAAGTCATGGCTGTTGGAAATGAATTCTTCAAGTAGAAAACTGCTCAGTAAGGCTTGTAAAGGCAGACTTAATGTAGATTGGACATCGTATAAAGCAGAACTTGCTATATATAAGTCAGAGTTTATGAGAGCCTTCTACGACAAAATACAACGTCCTTGGAATATATGAAGTACATGGGCACTTCGGAAAGTAAATATAACACCCCGCAAGTTCACGTCCTTACTACTAATCTACATACCCGTAGTTTTCCGATTTTGACCAAATTTTAGATTATCATATTATAAAATATCATAAAATATCTTTTAACTTTTTAATGGTCAAAAGTGCTCCACTGTTTTTTTGGCGCGCAATTCAAATTCCGATCAAACAAAAAAATTACTATTTCTTTTATTTTTTAACGACCTGAAAATTTAGGGAAAAAAGTTTTGTAATTATCCAATTTTATGTAAAAAAATCTCAGCTTTCTAATAAAAATATTTTCAAAATCAAAAAAAAAATTTCAAAATCCAAAAAAAACATTTTATTTCCAAAAACCCCGTTTTTTGTGCTTTTCCACCATTTTTTTTTTTTTTTTTTCAAAATTGACATTCCCATTCGATTCCTCGCTCAATTTTACATAAGAATCAGTGTTCAAAAATATGGAACATGAACAGTAAAAAAAAATTCAAAGCTGACGCTATACGGCGCATTCTATTAATTCCTAAAGCTATACTTGTCAGGGAGGAAAAAAGCATTTGTGTGGGTAACGAAAAATTTGTTTATTATATTTTTAAAACTTACAGAACATTGTAGGCGATAAATAATGTTTTGGAATGGAATATTAATTTTTCATACACATTATTTGACAATTTTCAATTCTTGAACAGGTAATGAGCTTAAGAAAGTTTTCACATTGAAAAAATCTTCTTAACAGCTGAAAGAATGACGGCGTGGAAACATTGTGTGATTTTATAGTCAAAGCTTTTGAAAATCGATTCTCAAGAAATTGCTTTTTATTTTCATAAATATCTCTACTCAGAAAAAAAAATCAATTTTTTTTTATTGAAGTTCGTGCCCACCCATACAAGTCTTCTGCTGTAAAAATTGGCTGCTGATTTCCTCTTTGAAGACTTGCTCTTGTTGCAAGCCGCTTTACACTGCTATTCCTTTTCCATGGGCAATCGCAGAGAAATGCCATTCCGCTTGAATTTGAAAATCTGTGTAATGATGACGTAAATTCGCGAAAGCCTTTTTATTTTTGAATTGTTGTGATGCTCCGTCAGAGAAGTAAAATATTTTTTCAATTACTGCACTTTTTTTTTAATATTCGATCTCTTTCTGCTGGAACATGTATACAGAGACATAATCATGTTTGAAACAGAAATGTTTCAAAACTCCATGTTCTTTATAATAAATTACCGCTGGAAATAGTGTAGCCTTCTTCCAGTGTAAGGTTTGAGCAGCGTCGTGACGAATGCATAATTTTCTGCAAAATCTTTTACTAGAAGTATTTCACCTGGACCCAAATTTTCTTTCAATTCAGTGAAATATTTACTTTGTTTTGAGGCCACGAAGTCATGAAGTAAAAGTTTTCTTAGATCTTTCATGAGGGTATCAAGAAATTCGTCAGTTTCAGTTGTCACATTAAGAATGGTACAGCGATGCGTTGTCCATTTTTTATATCAAACTTCATCAATGTCATTTTCTTCGTAGTAGAAGTCAAGTTGTTCACGAACGTCATTGATTTGCGGGCACGAAGTGCATGTTCGATTATAGCACGATTAATCTGGATTCGAGCATAAAAATTTTTCCAATAGGTCTTTAAATTAAGGGTTTTCTTTGCTGATCCATGAGCTGTTCTTGAAACACTTGCTAAATTTGAATCCTATAACATAAAATACATATTATTATTTATTAATTATTATTAGACGTCATCACAGTATTTTAACAAAAAAATATTCAAAAAAATTAAAGCCATGAAATTCATTTCAAAGGCACATGTTGATGTTATTTCTTTGTTCATTATTTATTCATCATGAACTCATTTATGTATCTATTCATTATTCATATTTTCACCAATCATTTATTAATTTTTTTATGATCGCTTATGTAGATATTTATTCATGTATTTATTCATTTAACCTACCGAATTGGCTGGGATTTATATTAATCGTCTTAGTAAGCTAAAACTCTTCGATGATCATTGTCAAGTTTTTGGGTAACAAAATGACGAATATTTATCTGTCGATTTTGAATCTACCCTACGACTTAATATTCAACGCTACTAGCTAATAACATTTAAGATAGTAGTTATGGTACATCATTAATAATTTTGAAGGTTGGGGTCAAATAGATTTGACGGTTTTCCCTTACATTGAGAAACTGTAGGTATACTTGTCACCACCGTGAATTCAAATTACAGAATTAATTTCATGGTGTGCGTTTAAATTTTCCGTAGTATTTGTGAATGTGTTGGCTGACTTCGAAAACGTACTACTGCAAAGTTTTGCTGCCGTTTTACTACAGTTTTTTTACATCTTGTGTATGCAACGTCAAATAATGTCGGTTTACTATGAAATGTACATTTTGACGTTTTATAACATTTTTATAAAATTTTATTCAAATTAATTTTCACAATTCAAAAATATGAAAATACTCAGTACTATTTCTTCGTATGGAATTATTTTTTGCTGGTATAAATTTCGCTAGCTCTCAGCTTTTTACGCTCTCAACATGTGCTCTTTTCCGCTGTTTTTTTTGGATTAAGAAATGCTTCTCCAGCATAAACTTTGTTAGCTAGTAATATCTGTAGTTAGCAGTTATGAAAAAAATTATAGTTTTTTTTATTCATGAATTTCTTTCACATACATAGGTATGTATAATATATTGTTTATTAAAAAAATATTACTTATAAGAAAATGTACAGTGAATGTACAGACAGATAAATTTTGACTGAGCTTTTTTTTTTTTACTTTTAAACTACATCATCTTTTAAGTTGCAGCCAACAGTTTTTTTTTTTTTAATTTTTTTACGATAATTTTTACTCTAAACGAATTTCGATGTTATTTTAACTCACTCACAGAAAAACTTGTACACTTACGTTAGCAACACACTAAATACATCGCGTGGACAGTTACTATAGTTTTATATATTTTCCGATATTGGCCTTATTTGAAATGAAGGTAATGGCGCATTTATATACCTTTATTGATTATTTTTGAAATTTTAAAATCGTAACTTACTTGTAGATGAACAACTCGACTGCTTACTTTGGCGTGACTTATCAAGAGCACGATAATGTTTGTTTATTATACTTTTAAATAACCATTACTAAGAAAAGTACTAAACGCTTTTCTAATCATTGATGTTAAATTTCAAGCTCAGTATTAGGTTTCTGCATACGTTGTATTGCGTCGTATATGACGATATAATGGTTTAAATCATTTTGTAAATTTTTCTATGATCACTTTTATTACATAACTTTTTTGGTTTTCTTGATTAAATAATCAAACTTGCTATTTATTTACATTTTACAAATGTGAATAAAATATTATTTCTCTCTTATAATTAACGCGGCCGATTCATACTGCTAACTTCTTTTGTAAGTTCCCCAATTCCATTGGGAATATTTACGTTTTCAGAGCTATCAGACACGTCTTCACTATCACTCGATCGAATATCTCCTGACATCTAAAAATATTCAAAAATATATACAATATTAATTTGATATCTATTTTAAAATTTTAAAAATCTAATTACTGAACGTACACATGAAAACCAAATGGTTTAAAATATTGCGAATATGAAAACAAATGTGAAGTAATTCAATAATGGTGTACAATTCCAAAAATTGTTTTTTTTTATGTCGAAATGTGTGTTGTATGCAACATGAAAGAGAGACTGGAAATTGCAGGAAGCTTCAGAATCAGCATTTCGAAGGATCGTTTTCAAAAGCGAGATGAAATTACTAAATTTCTGTTCATTGCCTCAAGTTGATTAATATTGATAATTTTAAAGATTCATTGAAAATTTATTTACTAACTAGCGTTTAAATACAATTATTACAAGTATAAATAGGAAATTATTCATAATAATGTATCAATAGACAATGTAAATAAAAAATATTTTGCAACAAAAAATAAATAGATTGAACATATAGCAGAACTATAAATAAATCAGAGTTTATGGGGGATATATGAAGTACACGGTCACTTGGGAAAGTAAATATAACACCCCGCAAATTCGCGTCCCTACCACTAATTTACTATATTTTCTTCTTTGGAACTTGCTAAAAATCGATTACGATCTCACTCAAGTGTATTTGAAAGTGTAAGTAGGCAGACACAAATGGATTATTCATAAATCCAGATACTGAGCTAATTTTATTTCCTAGGAGATAGGATATCCCGGAGGTTATTCTCCCCTCGTTGTGACGCTCTATTCTTCATTCAGTGGGGTGAAGTACTCCGAGCATATCCTGAATTGGAAGCTGACATAGAAACTAAACATGACGGGCCGACTGAAAACATCGGTTGTTGGAGGTGATTGTACCAGACCATTGTAGCGTCCTTCAAGCAGAGGTGGGTGTCAAAGGTAGTGGTACATATGACATACTGTTCCGAAGTGCAGCTTCAGAGGTGTACATTCTTTCTGGTAGCCGAGTAGCGATATTGACTTTGAGATCGACTAGTGAACTCGATGACATTAAGTACATGCCTCAKCAGCGRCAGTTCAGGTGTTTTGATTCCGTTTATGGGTGCTCGGCCACAGCAGAATCGCCGGAAACTGCAAAGTCTCGCTAKGGAGGGCACCAATTTCATCCACGGCGAATCGGTTGGACGATGTCCTCTTGCGCTCTAACTGGACCTATGGACCATAATTTTGGCCCAAAGTGAACCGTAAGAGATCCTCTGAACTACTAGCACTTTCGCAGCTACTAGCAAGTTTCCCAGCTATGGTAGGGAACTGACTGGACACTGTCCAGTAGGTACATATGCGAAACGACAAAATATTTTGTTTAATGCTGAATGTTGAATTTTGATTTCTATGCTGCATGATATTTCAGATAGAAGCATCGCCCTTTAATCTCACAGACATTAAAAACTGAATTTGATCGCTACATTGTAGTTTTTTTGTAGATACTCAGTAAAATTTTTTTCACTGCTTTGTATGAAGTATAACCCCAGCTTTGTTACACATACTTGTTTACCTATGCAGTGTACATAAAAACAGAAAAAATCATAAAGGCAAATTACTGTAGTTTTCTTATGAGTTTAATAGAACAATTACACCAACCTTTACCTAGTAACATCTTAGAATGCATTAAGCGGAATATTTTGAATATTTAGAACAAGAAATATATAAATTTAAGGCTGACGAAATAACTGCCATAAAGATGCAAAGGAGTAAATTATATTTATACCAATGTGATAGTATAAACTCAACAGTAAAGTTTTGGGTAGAAATTCGAGAATTAGAAAATTTACTAATAATGTATCCTTATACTAGGCTTTGTAACTTTGTTTTTTGTATAATATTACTCAGTACTGCAAACGTTTTTTTTTATTTAAAGAATATTGACAAAACATAATAGAGGAACAGATTAAGCTCTAAAGTACTAAATTCAATTTTGTATATATCTATATATACAAATATATGTATATATAGCATATCTTTGATCACAATAATGAATTAAAGTTGAGTATACTTCTGATGAAGAAGATTGGGTGAAGAAATGTTTCTGGGTTAGTAGTAACATAATGTGCTATACCCAATTCGAACCAGTCCTCGTAAAAGTAAAAGCGAACATCACCGGCATTCTAGAAACGTAAGGACAGTGAAGAGTCGTTTCTCGTAACATATACCTTATAAAAGAGCGCAAATTCGGGGTGAGAGAAAGACGAAGTGGTATTCGCTCCCGTGGATAAGTATCTAGCCACAACCTGCATTAAAAAAAAATTTTTCAACATAACATTGATGGGTTTAGAGTGGTTTCATGTTTATGACGACTGTCGCCGTGTAATTGGTGATTTTAACGCCAGGATGGGAAAGGATGGCAACTTTGAACTTTGGTACAGCAGTTGGCAAATTCAGCCTCCATGCCGAAACCTCTCCACATAGGTTGATGCTGATCGACTTCGCAGATAATAAAAATATGGTTGTCTGTAGTACTAGATTACAGCTTAAAAAAATAGGGAAGCAAGACGCATATGCAGATAAAGAGAGAAAGAGGTCGAAAACTTTGAGTATGAAGAGCTTGAGAAGCTGACTGGTCGGCTAGAAAATTTTACAAAAAAAAAAAATTGGGCAACTAACGGGAGGTTTCAAGATCGGATCATACTCTTGTAGGACCAAAACAGGTGATTTCGTGGCTGATATTTAGATAATACTGAAGTTATGAAGAGTCCAGCATGCTAAAAGACCAGTGAAAGTGTAACATTTGGAGATGGCAAACCCGATTCTCCAATCGATGGCGATGGAATAGGTGTTGTCCTATCGATCATAGTTTGTGACAGACCAATGCCCACTGTCAACCAACTGATTTGACCTTATCAAAGTGTCTTTAAATCTGGAAAATATACTATCGACCAGATTTTTTACCATGCGTCAAATCGTGGAAAAGACCCGCGAAAGGATGATCGGCACACACAACCTCTTCGTTTAAAGCCGCTTTCGACTGCATGAAAAGTTACTGCTTTTATGCCGCCATGGCTGGACTTGGTATCACCGTAAAGCTAATTCGTCAGTGTAAGCAACACCAAAAGCTTCGTCAGGATCGGGTAGGACCTCTTCGGGTCGTTCGATACCAAGCGAGATTTCAGCATCCCTGTCGTGTAACCTCTTTAATCTATTGTTAAAGGAAAGACTACGAGCTGCAGAGCTAAATAGAGAAGGTACACTCCTCTTTAAGAGTTTAGAGCTGCTTGCGGATGCTGATGATATTGATATCAGTTAGTTCTGTTCTCTCCAGACCTTTGAACGAGGATAAGACGGAATATCTCCTGTCATTAAACAAACACAACATTCGCGACTTGGTTCGCACGTCAATGTTTACCGTCATAATTATGAATTCGCAGATAATTTCGTCTATCTTTGAATCAGCATTAACACCAACAACAATATCAAATCTTGTCTACAGGTGTTACATTGGACTAAGCAGGCAATAGAAAATCCTCTCTTGACGAACAAGAACTAAACATGCTACAGCGGCTGCGCTGGTTAGGTCATGTTGTCTGGGTAGAAGAGAACACGCCAGCTTTGAAGGTATCCGTCGGTGGAAGCAGAGGTAGATGAAGGTTTCACTCTGCACGTGGTATCTTTAATGGGCGAAAAATAGCGGAAAGAAGGAACGACTGCACGCTATTGTTAACTCGACTATAACCGCTTACTTTTTTAGCCATAAAAGTTATTATTTAACTGTTTTTAGTCCAAAGTTCAGACAACACTGGTAATAATCCGAATAGAACATATAGGATTTTAACTATAACTATACCAAACCCTTTTATAAAAACCATAAAATAGGCATAAATATTTCACATATTTGGTTCGAGGCGTAAGGAGTATATACTGAACATTAGGACGAAAAAATTGTCTATGAGAATCAAGATTCTGTAATATGGTTGTCAAAAAAGTTTTGTGGTATTTTCGCTAGTTGGCGCTGAGAGCGCGTAGTTCTAGTTTTATTCGCCGCATCGGATCATGCTATACCTTTTTGGAAAGCTCATTTCACGTGCTAACGTGTGTTTGATTGATTGTCGTTTCTTTTAAGTCGTCGTGAGTCGCAAACATTTCCACCGCACAACGATGATTTCAATGTCTTCGTTCTGGTGTAGAGGTGGTCGAAGATGCGCTACGCTCCGGAAGGCCTGTCGTCGAAAATTGCGATAAAATCGCTGAGTTGGTCGAAAGAGACAGGCATAGTAGCAGCCGTAGCATTGGTCAAGAGCTGGTCATCAAAAAAAATTTTATGATATATAATATAATATATTTAAATTTGGGGTAGGCTGTCCGATTTCAATGTACGGCAATAATCAATAAAATCCTTACCTTGGAAACCAAAACGCACAATTTTATGGAAATTCAGTTCTTTATATTTGCGAGATTATAGATGCCAATAGGAAACATTATTCCCAAATTATGAATGTCTAGCTGTCACAGAAGACTAACTCCATAGTCGCTATTTTTTGTTTACAATTCATTACTATCATCCATTACCCAGGTAAACATTGTTATGTACATATTTTGTTGTCACACAAGATATACAATGATTTTGATGTACCCTCATTAACAATATATACAGATATACATATTATATGTATTGAATTACATGTAGTTTTTTCTGACAACACATATTCATTGTCACAAAATCCAAATACTCGTCATTTATTTAAATAACTTCATTTATAATTGTATAACTATTGCCTCTGACATTTCTAAAAGGGAAATTCCCCATGACATTCTTCTACTTTATTGACGTAGACACCGCTTACGCAGCTATATCCGAGTTTACAACAGCGTACTACTTGTATCTTCTTTTTTCTATTTGGCGCCATTTTCAGATACTAAGTGGTTCCCCCGACGAAAATTTTCGATATTCGCCATGGCCAACGTGCAGTGGAATATAATTCTTTCGCAGGCCCTTTCTCTCGAAAACTCGGAACGTCGACTCATCTGTTTGTTATCGTCCGTCGCACATAGCAGGACAGGAATTATGAATGACTTATAGAGTTTGATTTTTGTTCGTCAAAAGAGGACTTTAATTGCCTATTCAGTTCAAAGTAACAACTGTTGGTAAGAGTTATTCTGCGTTATCACAACCAGACCAATGTTGTCAATATCATCGGCGTACGCCAGTAGCTGTACACTCTTATAGAAGATTGTACATACTCGATTAAGCTCTGCAGCTCGAATAATTTTCTTCAGCAATAGATTGGCGAACTCGCACGATATGGAGTCCTCCATACAGTATTCTCGATAGAACCTTACATGCGATCTTGAGGAGGCTTATTCCACGGTTATTGCCGCAGATTGTGGCATTTCCCTTTTTGTGGATTGCACGGAGCACACTTAAATTCAAATCGTCGGGCATGTTTTCATCCATTATTCTACAAAGCATGCTCCTTATCAGTTCTTTGTCACCGTATTTGAATAACTCGGTGGTACTCTATCGGGCCCCACCTCTGTGTTGTCCTCAGACGGGTAATTTCTATTCGAACTTCTTCATGGTCGGCCAATGGAACGTCTGCTCTATCGTCATTGATTGAGTAATCGGATTCGCCTTTTCCTGACGTTATGTTTTCACTGGAATTCAGCAGGCTAAAGAAGATTTCGCTCTATAATTTTAGTATGCTCTGGGCATCAGCCTGTATATCACGTCGGGGGGTTTTACAGCTTGACTCACGAATTTTGGCCTACTTTTGTGTATGCAAATGCGTCTCGCTTCCCTCTTTGAGCTCTCGGTATCTATCTCATCCCCCACGTGTTATGCTCGATTGTAACGTTGCGAGGCACACAGCTAGTTTTCTCTCCTCATCATCGTACCAGCTGTTATTTTGCCTTTTTGCGAAAACCAATGGTTTGGGTTGCAGCTGTACGTAAGGAGAATGAAATGTCGTCGCACATTTCCCTTATACCTATTTGCTTATGAGTGCTATCAGAGAGCAGTAGTGCAAGTAGAGTAGTAAATTGTTCGACTATCTGTTGTGATTACAGCTTTTCGACATCGAACTTTTCTTGTGTTTGTTGATGTGTGCTTTTTGGTGCACAGAGGCGGGTGCGTATCTTGATTACAACATGATATAGATCAGAGTCAATGCTTGGAAGGTACGTACAACTAAAACACTAGAGACATATCTTTCGTCTATCTCCATTAAAAGGGGGATCACTTATTCGAGGCTCTTGTTATGTACAAGAATGGCGCTCAGAGAACTTTTCTCACTTGCGTAAACTTCTACACATGGCTCCATCCTCCTCAAAGCATTTTTTTTAAGGGAAAAGAGCTTTAGAGGGAAGTGGATCGCAGGCTTAAAAATACATGTGAGAAACTAAATATTATAAGTATTTTTTTTTCATTTTAAATAATAATTTCTCTATATGAAACTGATGTTTGTATTGCTTAAGAAAATATATGTTCTGATGCCGCAAGTGGTCTAGCTCCACACATTCAAAATTTGATATAAAAAGTTAAACTTTATTAACCAGTATTTAAGTAGTATAATGAAATGTTAAAAAAGATTTAATTTTTGTTGTCAAATACCTTTTTAGCTTCAAATTTATTTAAATTCAGAAACTAATCCACTGAGTTTTTTTTTAATCTAGTAATTTTAAAGAAAATATTTTTTTTTAAAGCATCAAAGCAAGCATATAAAATGAAGTAAACGCTTATCCGAATGTGCTTTGGCGCAGGCCTACACTCAAATACTAATGAGATTTTCAAATATGAGCTGACATGTTAAAATATAGTAGTATGAAAACATATGGTCTAACACAATAACTCACCAATCCTTTCTGTAAAGAATCAACAACAATTTTTAAAATCAAATAAGTCCAAACTACATGTAGAAACAGTAGAGATATTAAAAGAGTGTTGAAAATATAGTACGCCGGGAACATTGGTAAAATATTTGGAGCTTCAACAGATGAGCTGCAAAACAAAAATTTATTTTATATGTATGTTAGATAAATTAATGTAAATAAATTAAACTTAAATTATTTTCGTGTACGGAAAAATAATGCTCACTAGAATTTTCAATTAACTTTATTTTATTTCATAAAGCAGTCTCCAGTTATCATACTGCTGATATTGCAATCATAGCATCACTCGTTTTAAAAACTCTTTATGTAATAAAATAACTTTGTAAAATTTACTTGTGAATTTACCGATATACATAGTTATCCAGTTCAATAAAAGTTATTCATAAAAAGGATAGATAGTTCATTTGCATGCTATATCAGTAGCAATACTTGGCGATTCAAAGAAAGCTATAATAAGAAAACATACCACCTAGTAAATTTAATTTTATTAGATTATTATTAAAATCTTGTCTAAAAAAGATATATTATATATATTATGCAAATATATATAAAATTTAAAATAAACCAGTAAGGTCTTTTTGTTCAGATCTTTCAATTACAAAAAAAAGTCTCTTATTGCCTGCGAAATAAACATGGTCAATGAAGTTAGTACGCGATATTTTGGAAATCCACAATGTTGTCGTCTAACAACCTCTATACCTGTACAAATTCGATTCACTTGAGTAGGTAAAAATTTAATTTTTAAGATTTAAGTCTATGTTTCTTCATTGTCTATGTTTAGACATTGCGAAAGCTCCGGTTTTTTCCCCCTTTGTAAATTATGGTAACCTTTGAGTCACTTACCTATAAATTATGCGTGGAAAGAAACCGAGTCTTGTTACAATCCATACAACAGTAAATATCGCAAATATAAGATCACACAATTTCTGATATTTCGCGTATTTTGTCAATTTTGCAGCCTAGAATTAAAAATACATATAATTAAATAAAATTAAGTCATTATATATTTGAGTGTTCTGAATTTTCGAAACAATTGCATAATTTGGGTCGCTTTGGCATCATTGGTTAATACAAAGTTAAAAGAAAGAAATCGTAACTTTGATTGCCTAATATTTTTTCAATTCCTTTTTGTGCGAAGTTTCTGCTGAAGAGAATGTTAGGAGACAGAGAAGTTTGCACCGGCTTAAGTATTTTGACATCGACTTGGGTACTTCCGGTTGAAAGAAAATATATTTAATACATATATGTATAGCAAGAACAATCCCCTTCATAAGCACTAGAAATAAAATTAAAAGAGGGGCATTTCTCAAAAAGCTTTCCTTCTCCCACGGATAACGTTCCGTGTCATAAGAGCAAATTAATTAAAAAGATTTTGTCAGATATTGGAGTTGAAACGCTTGATTGGCCATCCCAAAATCCAGATTTAAATATAAAAGAAAATGAATGGTTGTATGTAAAATAAATCGCTGATTTGACGAGAATAAAAGTTGAAGTCTTAACTGAGGTGATAAAAGCCTGAAATGATATTTCAATTGATTACCTCAAAAATTTGGTAAATTCGGATCAAAATCGGCTCCAAATTATTATATAGGCAAATAGTGGTTTTATTATACTCTCGAAACAAAGTTGCTAAAGAGAGTATTATAGTTTTGTTCACATAACGGTTGTTTGTGAGTCCTAAAACTAAAAGAGTCAGATATAGGGTTATATATACCAAAGTGATCAGGGTGACGAGTAGARTTGAAATCCGGATGTCTGTCTGTCCGTCCGTCTGTCCGTGCAAGCTGCAACTTGAGTAAAAATTGAAATATAATGATGAAACTTGGTACACGTATTTCTTGGCTCCATAAGAAGGTTAAGTTTGAAGATGGGCAACATCGGCCCACTGCCACGCCCACAAAATGGCGGAAACCGAAAACCTATAAAGTGTCATAACTAAGCCATAAATAAAGATAATAAAAGGAAATTTGGCACAAAGAATCGCATTAGGGAGGGGCATATTTGAACGTAATTTTTTTGGAAAAGTGGGCGTGGCCCCGTCGCCTACTAACTTTTTTGTACATATCTCGAAAACTACTATAGCTATGTCAACCAAACTGTATCGAGTCGTTTCTTTCAGGCATTTCCATATACAGTTCAAAAATGGAAGAAATCGGATAATAACCACGCCCACCTCCCATACAAAGGTTATGTTGAAAATCACTAAAAGTGCGTTAACCGACTAATAAAAAACGTCAGAAACACTAAATTTTACGGAAGAAATGTCAGAAGGAAGCTGCATCCAGGTTTTTGTTTTAATTGAAAATGGGCGCGGCGTCGCCTACTTATGGACTAAAAACCATATGTCAGGAAGTACTGGACCGATTTAAATGAAATTCGGTATATAATATGTTCTTAACACCCTGATGACATGTACCAAATATGGGTGAAATCGGTTCACAATCACACCTGAAATCTCGATTATCACTTTATCATGCGAGAGTATAAAATGTTCGGTGACAACCGAACTTAGCTGTTCCTTACATGTTTTTCGTTAATTTCAAGTTTAGAAAGTTATAAATAAAGATAACTTATATTTAAATGTTAAAAACGCTCTGTAAAAAAAACTTGTGCCGCTCATTGAATTGTCGTATACTTGAAAAAAAAAAAACTAAATAAATATGTATAATTCCAAATTATTATCTTTTACATAAGTATTATATAAACTGCTATTATAAACTTATTTTCTAAATTAATGAATAAACAAAGAAACACTTTGCGATATCAAAATACTTATGCCGACGTGTGAATGATGTAAATACATTACATTATTGTTATTTTTTCATATTTTCAAGAAGAAAATATATAAACAAATGCATAAAGCGATTTTAAGTAATATAAGATGTAGATCTTATGAAAAGAGAAAGTCTTTATATGGTAATTTGAAACATAAATAATCATGAAAATGCATTATTAGTTAATATTCAATTACAGTAGCGGGCAGCACAATCCGGACCAGTGTTCGGTTTGTATTTAACCTATAAACAAGTGCTCTGTGCACGTTTTTTAGCAACTTAGTTTCTTTAGTGTTCGTGCTTCGTTAAAGGGGGCTACGCTTTTCATGGTAAAAAATTTTCCTTTTTTTGCGAATTTATTCCCTAAATATGGATTGAGTAATTTTATTCGAACTTTTTGTACATTATTGAGCACACTTTTGACAATATATAATAATTTTTTTCGTCACTTTTTAAGTTTAAATATTTTAGACGCATTTTTTCTCAAAACTATTTTTACAAAAATCCGTGTCCACTGTCATTTAAAAACTACTTAATTTAAAACTTTGTACATATTTAAGAAAATGTCGTTTTTTTATCTAAAACCCTTACCCTTAGCTTACATATGCCGAATTAAAAAATGTCAGAAACTCAAAAATATAATATTTTGATTTTGCGAAAAGAAAATCTGACCATTCAAGAAATTATTGACACCAACTTTCTAACWTTCCAAGTTCTCCATTGAGGACATTGTTGAAGACATTCAGCCCTATCACTCAATACATCGTAGGATAGCTACGAATACGAATGCCCGCTACGAATACGCAGAATTTGCTTTCACAGAATCCATGCGAATTCGAAACTTTTTTTTATCAGACTTAATTTTGACATATCGAAATAACCTGGGTAGAACCAAAAATTTAAATTCTGATAAATAAAATTGAAATCGAACAAAATATAAATCATTTAACAGCCACTCAACAAATTTAAAACTTACGTTCGGTATGGTTCGAATTGTATGATAGCAATTTCGTATCTTTCCCGAAAAACCAGTACACGATGGATTGCTGATTAAAGTGGAGTTATTTGATGATATCGGTAGCAAGTTAGCGCAAGAACTACTCGTTGAAGGAAAATAATAAATAGGATTGCATGACTGTTTATTAGGGTGATTAAAAAAAAACTTTTTTTTCGTTTGGTACTCTGAAAAGTGTTTTCCTAGACACCTCTCAGAAAGCCTCTCCAAAAACCTATGAGTTTCATCATTCATAATAATTTAGTTCATTGAGTTATAAAATTCATAAGAAATAAAAAAATTTTCCAAAAATAATCAAAATTTAACTGTTAATATCTTTAAACCGGTTTTGTTTACGAAAAAATAGTACAGACCTTTTTTGTAGAGCATTCAATTTCCTACAAAACCTGTGGAACAAGATATTTTTTCAAGTAGTTGGAAGCGAATTATAAAGTTTTCTATATGATAATAAGAAAAAATAGAAAACTGTAAGTAGGAGGACCTTCCCGTTATAATTAAGAACTCATTCTTGGAGAGGCTTCCTTAGATGTCTAGGAACCCACTTTTCAGAGTACCAAACGAAAAAAATTTTTTTTTTGAATCACTACTGTTTATACACTCGGCGAAAAAACCCACGCAGTCGAAATTTTTCTAATATTCCTATTTTGAACTGTCACTATGTGCTCAAAATTCACTATTTGTCTTATTTGGTTTTTTTGTTATGTGATTACATTAGTTCGCCGTTATTTCCAAACCCTTAACCTCCGCACGTGTTTATTTCAGTATTTGCTGTTTTTTTGTTGTCAACAGAAATGAAAGCAGAAATAGTAGCTTTATATAAAAATTATACTGAATTTTTATTCATTTGCTCGAAAAAAGGGCAGTGCACTTAAAAAGAAAGTAAATCTTCCTCACGAACAAAAAATTAAACGGATGTGTGTTAGTGATCGCTTTCAACATGCAGAAACATTCAATGCAACATTTTACGAAACTATTGGGGTAAAAATAACTACACGTTATATGCAAAATGTCCTAAATAATCTAGGATTACGAGGGGGCGATGTCCAACCAAAAAGCCACTTCTCATTATCCAAATAAAGAAACAGAGACTAGAGTGGGCAAAATCACACAAAAATTGGACTACAACAGATTACAGAAATGTATTTTTTTTCTACGAATCCAAATTTAATTTGTTTAGATCCGATATAAATGCCACAGTGCGTCGTAGGAAAGGGGAGCGTTTGTTTGGCTCACCCTAAAGCATTCGCCCTATTTAATTGTGTGGGGGGCTATAACCAAGTTTGGTGTTGGCAGCTTATTATTCCAAAAGGATCTGAGAATGCCGAAAAATCCATGGGAATTTTGAAAGAAGGAGTTTTACCAACTATTGAACACTCAAAGAGTTTATATTCAGGATGTTTCAGCTCCTTGCCATAAAGCCATTATTTACAATTCATTACAAACACTCACAGGTTACAAAACAAAAAGATTTTTATGGAATTGAGTCTCTCCCGTGACCAGGAAATAGTTCAGATCTCAATTCAATTGAGAACTGCTGGCTTTATATGGGCAAAACGGTAAGAGAAAAGCGTGCAAAAAGTCTAAAAGAAATGGAGAAAATTATTGAAGCTGTGTGCAATGAAAAAATTAATAAAAATTATCTTCAACGCTTGTTTGAATCCGTACGTAAACGAATACCCGATGTTATTAGTAGGAGGGGGTGTTCTACAAAATACTGAGAATTTTTTTGTACAAAAAACGTTTTGTCGTATAAAACATAAAATTTGTAAATAACTTGTTTAAAAATAACAAATTTTCTTTGGTTTGTTATGTGTGTATTTACATTTTTCACTAAAACAAGTTTATATAAATTTCTTATATAAAAATGTTTCAAGAATTAAATAAAAGTGGTTAACTCTCAGAGAAAAATATTTAAGTAAGGATAACATGAATCTAATTTTTGCACTATATAAAGCCACACGCAGAGAAAATATTTTTGAAGCAGAGAGCAATGCGAAACAACAACAAAAAATTATTTTTTTTGTTATTGTCTTTGAGAATAGACTATTCAATTTTTGCAGTGTGTTGTTATAACAAACATATATTCGCTGCGATGAGAGATTTAAATACTCCGCACTTTCCAATATAAAAAGAGTAATAGATGGACTTAAGTAAAGAGTTAGAAAATTTA